CGATGCCTGGTGATGAATACTGGGGTTCTGTGACGGCAGAAAATGCCCTGCAGCGACATGGTGTCCTGGCACCGTTTGCTGACCCGCGGTGCCAGGAAGTGCTTGATTTGGTCCAGATGAAAACACAGTCTGTTGGGGTATGCTGCCCTTCAGCTGACTGTAACTCTGAAAGTTTCCAGAGGGCTGCTGGTTTTGATAGTAAGTAGAAGACGGGGGTGGCGGGGGTGGGGGAGGCGGTGCACTGCTGTTCAAATTTTGTTGGTTAAACTGGCTGTAAGAAGCAGAAGATTGTCCTGAAGTTGTCTGAGTAAAGAGGGGTCCGCTAGCCGGCTGCTGATTACTAGGCTGAAGGGTTGGTGCTGCCGGGTAGAAGTTTCGGTGCGTTTCCCTCTGGGGCGTCCCAACTTGAGGTGACTGCGGATGGTGAGGTCTGTACGGAGATCCCAACTGCTGCGAGTGAGGCTTTGGTGAAAGGTAACCGTGCTGCACAGGCGCGTGAGGGGTAGACGGCTTCGGAGGGTTTTCTACGTGAGGCGAAGGGGGGCAATGCTTCAAGGGTGCGGAAGGCAGCTTCTGTGAATGTGAAAGTTGCTCAGCAGAACTGCGCAGATGTGATTGAGATGGGTGGGTTTTTGAAAGTGCTTGGACGTTGTTTGTCAGCTGTTTTTGCTGCAGCTCGGATTTTGGGTGATTCGCACATTCGGCCTCGGGTGCATTAGCCGCAGTTTCCCAGTGCGAATCTGGTTTTGTGGGTGTTTTCCCAAGTGACTGTGTTGAAACTACAGGACTCGGTGAAGAGGGCTAGAATGAAAGAAAGTCAGTCAGCGCAAACATTCAAAATATTCAACTACGCATGTGTTAGAACAAAAAGAACTTTTCAGAATACTGTTTTCTCCCCCTGATGGTGAAAAAAATGCGTTGAGGCACAGGACATGTATTTGGTGTAAGAAAAACAACAGCAGTAGAAAGCTTAAACCGAGCACGATGCTTTTTTTAGCAAGTGTGTATCAATTGTTCTTGAGAGTCAAAGACTAGCAAGTGTATTTTGAAGTAGGAACAGAAATATGACCCATCAGGTCAGAGTCAGAATCTGCCACTTGTTAAAAGTTTGAGATTCCTGAGTCTGAATGAAGTAATTCCAGACAAGACCATTTACAAAAATAAAGCCATTTTTAGAGTGAGTTAACATTTTAAAACTGGCACAGTGCAAGCAAACAGACTAAACATTACAACCTGGATTCCTGCATTTAATACTGTACAGGCAGCTACTCAACATCCCTCTCCGTATCAGTGCCTCTACCGACAAACAGTGCCAAACCCTGACACGGCAGGAGCAAACTCCTGTTACGGCGAGACGTACGTAAATCACGTTACTACTGGCAGTTCTGACTGCCAGTTCTTCGGCATTCAACCTGCAGAACTGCGGCAGTACTGAATCCACTGATACGATCTCTTTTGTGTCTACAGAATGCAGGATCATATATAAATAGGTATAGCTACTGAAAAAATAGAAAATAAACCAACTTTTTAGCATGTATGGACTACCACAAATATTGTCATAAATGTTTACTAATATTAAATTATTGCACAGATAGGTTACATACATGCATGTTCATCTAAGCAGTAAATCATGAAACAATTAATCTTTAAAAAATATTAGAGATGGATGTACGTATTCATATGCGTATTATACAACACACATGAACATATATGCACCTGTATACACCGTGCATTACCTTGCTTGCTTTTGACGGACTCTTACAAGTCTTTTGTGAAGTATCTGGGGACGGACATTCAGAAGTAGGCTCTGGATTTTCAGGATCAGGTTCTACAGACATAGAGATAAATATAAAAGTGGGAAAATCAAGTCGCTTGCAAAGATCACTAAGCACTTTATATTTGACTTTTAAAAAGAGCTATTAAAGTTGTTGTAAGAGACTATTCAATATGACAAGTGTCACACAAGGTCATCTGCTTACTGACCTTCCATAAATTCAGTGAAAGAAGGGACCTTAAGCTGCAACTGGGAAATGAGATTTGAATGAGATGAAGGTGGAGACTGAACATGAGACGGTGAGCATGGACTACAGGGTGACTCTCCCCCTACAGATGAAGCAGACCCAAACATAGTATTAGAATGACTGCAGACTACCATGGGGGAACTGGTTAGATTTATCTACCTTCGACATGATAAATCAACTCACCACTGTCCTTGTCTTTCCTATGATCACTGAGAAGTAAAGCTCGCTGATAACTTCGTTCTCTCACTTGTTCCACAGAGGTTGATGCAGTCCTGGAAGAAAGAGAAGCACATTTTAAATTCCACGGACCAAAATTTAGGACAATGTCTATGCAAATACTGGGTCAGAAAAAGTTTACCATGTTGACTCCATCTAAAAGCCAAATACCTGGTTGTACACAAGGAAGGTTCATTTGTTAAGTATTTTGTATCTATTTTCTCCCAGTTAAAATATACCAATTTCCTGCAACCGTGTTACATTACAAGAACTGACAATTCCTCTTAATACGGAAACATCATCTGTAGATCTGTGGGTTGTTTCTTTCTTTTTCTAAACACTTGAAAAGTCAAAAATTACACTTCAAAAAAATAAAGGTTGCAGGCACTGCTTCACAGTCTCCATTTGTAGAAAACTGTCTTCTTCCAAAGCTGGAAATAGCCTTTTTTGTTTTTTTTAATAAAGAATTTGCTCTTTAATAGTGGATCCCACAAACATATCTCTGTTTAAGCTTCTACATTTAACTTGCCAGATAGTGGGTATGAAATGAGAGTCGTATCTTCCCTCTCAGAATCAATTACATCTGACAATCACAATCTGATCAAGAACAACATAAATGACAGCACTCTACAAAACTCGGTTTTTCTTTCAGGCAAGAACGTACGGCATTACAATACTGTTGTACTAAAATAAATTTTGGTGCTGTCTGCAGGATTACTGCAAAAACTTACAAACATTCTTCCCTGTTTAGCCCGTTGTCCACATTCTTTGCTTACAATATAGTATGCTAGTTTCTGCACACTGAACTTACAGTCCCTTTTCAGTGAAACTTTGAAGACTGCACTTATGTCCTCCCTTCAACAGGCTCTGCAAAATCCTTCTACTCTGGAATAGCTGGAGCATCTGAGCAGAAGGATGTTCAACTCCTCAGCCCATGTTCATCCCCAACTCTGTTAGGCCTTCACTACAGCATAAAGAACATCTGCAGGGTTTATTTTGTGCTAGTAACATTTTGGAGACAGCTTCACCACAGTTGACCATCTACCTTAAGGCTACCAAAAATCTGGTGGAAAGATGTTGTGTAATATTTATACAGACTGAAGTCGTTCTATCTCATCCCCCTTCACACTGTATCTCTCCCCAGGATTTTTGGTTGTCAGAGTATCTGGCATGGCATCCAAGAGAACATATGGTCTGCACACAGGGGAACCATTTAATGATCATAAACAACGATGCAAGTATCAGCACACGCTCTATACCTGAGCAGAAGGAACCATTAGGCAGACTGCACACAGCCCTGCACATTGCACTTAAGCAACAGCAAACGCCACAAACACACTCCAGCCAAATCACTGAAAAAGAGACTTCCTAAAGTCTTCTAGAAACTTTTGCTAATCAATACAGATTACTCTCCTGTTCCACCCTTCTTCCCTACAGTACTTTTGGAAAATTTGGAGATTTAAGATGAAGAATATCCTCCTTGGCCCACAGATGAAGCAGTGGAGATACAAGGACATGAGTGCAGAGCCAAGGTCATGCTGAGAATCCGACTCAAAACCCTCACAGCCATTACAGCTGTGATGATTACACATCCTACTGCTGCTCCCTCCTCCCCCCTTAGCAAGCACATGCAGCCCAACTCGTGCAGTGGTGGAAGGAGCACACCTACTTACTGATGCCATTTTCTGCAGATTTACAACTGTACTTTACCTACGCAATTTTATAATCTACAGAACTAGGCAACTTGTCCTGCTCAAACCAATACCTATTTTGCTCTCAGAAAATAAAAAAGCAAAGCAGAATGAAAATAAGTTAACCTATATCTTATGGGTAATTTTCATATATTCTAATGTTTATGAGGTATCTGCTATATTTCTGAGGAAAGAGGTAACACAACTCTTTACTAATCTGAAAAAAGGGCTTCTAATCAGTCATCTGAAACCGCACCCTTATCAAAGAAAACTAGGTTTCAAATAGAAAAGACTTAGAACTAAGTAAATAATTCTTCAGCACTTTATTCCTATAGTTTTGTGGCTTACCACTGAACTTCTGGTTCATTCTTCTCACTGGAAGAAGATTCCTTAATTGCACAGTTGTTGCCAATGTCTTCTGGAGCTGCATTATAAACAGTAGTTGGCAGTGGTAAAGGCAGGCTTGCAGCGTTATCAGTTTGCTCCCCATTTTCACCACTGTTGTTATACCCATCGTTAGCACCGTTGTTACTACTTATATTTCCTCCACCAGCAGCATGAGGAGATACAGTAACCAAGGGGAAGTTTTCTGTCTTTGAGCCACTTTTTCTAGCTTCTCGTTGTCTCTTACGGTATTCTAATAAGGATACCTATGGAGAAAAGAACAAAAAAAAAAAAAAAAAAACACACCACAAACCAAAACAAACATTAGAAGGGAAGTTTACTTGTTTCCTTCCTGACACTTTCAATTAGTTATTCTTTCAGTAAGACATACCATTTACTTGGTTCTAAAAGAAAATGGGGACAGATTAATTGAAGGTATTTCACCACATCTGCAGTGAATTTACAGAGTACTGACCAACTAATGACTATAAGGACGATGTAAAGAAAAGCTTCTGTCAAGAGAAGGAAGTATGCGTTTTGCCTCAGGGAAGAAGCAGAAGATGATGCAGATCAGCAAAATATTCGCTGCTGAAGTCAATACTGTTGGTTGAAGCTACAAGGGACTTCACAGTTTTTCCTGGAACTGCAGCATTAGAAAGAATCTGCTGATACAGTAAAGCTAATTTTAAAGAGATGTCACATCCTGCTCTCAGTCTGATCCCCTCAATAGGAAAAACCCACCACGCTTCTGCTTCACTCCACTGCATAAATCAAAGGATTCTCTAAGCTCTGCACACATTTTTCTTAACATACAGAATTTGCAACTTAAACTTTCATTCTTTTCCCAGTTTATTTTGAATTTGTGTCTTTACTGCACTCTAAAAGAGGCTAATTAAGAACGTACTTTAATGCTAAATTCCAAGTAAAGTTTATTACCAAAAAATGATGACACATGAAGGGAAAAGTGGTTTCTACTTTATATGTATATAAAATCACAACACAGAAGCTTCTATAGAAAAGAAAACCGTTTATATGTTAGTAAGTTACCCTGAGTGAGAAAAATAAATTTTCAAATGTTTTCACCATGTATCTTCAGGATTTGAAGCAGAAAGCTGAAATACTGACCTTCAGACCTGCTTAAATTCCGTAAAGGAAACTAGTTTGGTGGAAATGACAATGTCTTTACACCTTTTCTTTTAGTTATCAGCAACCTACTCTGAACCATATAGCATCCAGAACAAGAAACTGAAGAGCAATAATGAAAAAAATTCATGTTTAACTGGCTTAGTCCTCAATAAAAGTGGACATCCATTTCTACACAGAGAGAGAAACCAAGGCAGCCTGCTTGGTTTGCAGTCCCAGGGGTTTTTTTGTTTGTTTTTAAACAGTTCTATCCATTAAAGACTCACCTATATGTCAGGGTAAGAACAGTTAAAAATACTTGATTTTTTGTAAAATAAAGTTTAGATTAAGAACTGATCTTGCTTTGAAATGATTTATATAATTTCCACATCACATGACTGGGATCCCTGGAAGAATATTGCTTTAAAGAAAGCTTAAGTGTTAAGAATGGATGAAATCTATGCAGTGTGGCCGCTACATACAGGACTGTATCAAAATGGGATGAACTTGTCCAGTAGTGAGAGAAGAGGAGCGAACACCAACAGAAATGCTGAAATATGGAAAAACCTCCTTTAACAACCGCATAAGGACATTCATGTCTTATGTGATCCTAAGGAAAGGCTTCTATTACTCTCCTACAAAATTCCTGAATTCTCACCTCAGGTGAGATTCACCCCCCTTTTTACACTGTAGAAGACTGCCTTTTTTTCTATGTCCTTGGAAAGCCTAAAACCCATTCTTTCAGGGGTGCAGCTACAATTTTCTCTGGTTGTTTCTTCAAACTGAGACTGAATCCAGGGGGTGGGGAGGTGTGCATGAGGGGGAAGCCACACCTTTTTTCATTTAGGGATTAGCATAGCAAAAGCCCTCAGCAATAACAACCTGGAAGAATCCTTGTCAGCAAGAGAAAGGGGGAAGGTCACTGAAGCACTGAGTGTTGCTGGGATTTAAAAAGAAATTAATTTAACCTTCAGACAAAGAAGAATGTGAAGCTACAGAAATTTTGGCTGCTTTTATGTTTTTTTGGCTTTGCCAAAACAGTAGGGTTACAGTAACACACATGGGATCTAGAAAATTGCCAGGACCAGGACCAGGTAAGAGCAGAGCTCCTACTATCTTGCTTCAGTTACGTCTCAGTTTGAAGCAAAGTAAACAAAAATCCAGTTCTGATGGAGAACTTCTGAAGGAAGAATTGTGAGTGCTCCCTAGCAGGATGCCCTCAGAGCAGAGGAGCAGGCATGTACAAGGGGGTACGATGGGACCAAAAAACCAGAACCCACTGTGCACACACATACACACACAGAGTATGCCCCCACCCCCTTGACCATTACTTCCATAAAGAAAAGAAAGCACATCTTTCAAACAAGAAAGATTACTACAGTCTGGTATGAGACAGAACTAGCAAGCTGCTGTGTTGGAGACTGTTACCTCCCACGTTTGTCATCCTTTCTGCAAGGAGCAAAGGGAGCCTAACAGCCTGACAGTAAAGTGCAAAGACAGTTATGCAGGGTAACTTCCAATTCTGGTTCGAGCTGCCCATGACCACACAACTTACCTACAAGAACTGTTTCATGAGAGTAGCAAATTTAGATTGTGCTTATTTTCCAAACACAGTATTTTATAAAAAAATAAATTAAGCCAAGAAGAAGGTTTCTTGGAACTAAGGACTTCTGTGTAGTCCTAACAGCGAAACCAAGATACTGTAAGCATATAAAAACTGGCATTTAAAAGCCTCAGTATCATAAATCTGTTACTGGAATTTCTTGCAGTGCTTCATAACAACTGTTCACAGCATATGATTTTTTCTATGCTGCTAGTATATATTCTGTATAATAGAATATTGTAATACTTGGTGGCATAAGCAACCATTTTCAAACCTGAAAAGCAATTATTTATTGAGCAATTAATTTAAGACTCATGAAATAAAAGTGAGCTTGTATCTATCACTTGGAAAAAATAAATTTACTAATGGGTGTATGCAGCTTTACTCTCTGCTCATCATTATTTCCCCTGAATAACGTCTACTACATTGTAGTATCTAAGAATGAGCCATCAGTTGGGTTTTTATTATATTATGGTTCTTTCTGTTGTAGAAATATCATTAGCAGACTATGTAAGACAGACCAAATGATTCTTAAAATTACAACCTTTTTCTTTTGTGGAGGATTCTGGGGTGTGCAATTTCCATCCATCAAGTTGTCATTATTGACAGTCCTTCCAAAGCCAGATGCAATTCCATCTTCTGAAGTACAAAAAACAGATGCTTCCATGAACATGCCTCTAGCATCGTCTTGAATCAGGCACTTTGACTCGCTTATTCTGAATCCACCTCCTACCTCCAACTGATGTGAAGGGGTCAAGTCCCTCAAATTAGAATTCATTGAGAAATTTACACCTGTCCTGTCGGGACTTTTTACCCAGGAAGAATAAATTGTGCCCCGTCCACAATGAGCAGTTTCTAATTGGCTGTTTGAATCAGTCCTATCATGTGCGGGGGCTTCCAGGTTTTTATGCAGTGCACTTTGCTCAATTACTTCGAGTCCCAGCTGGAGGTCTGACACAGATTCCATTTCTCCAGTGCACTGCCGTGTGACATCAGTCCTATTCCTTGGACTGGAATATCCAATAGTCTTTATTTCTTGCAGGCCCATTTCTGTCAGGTTGGAATTTCTGAAAGAATTCAGTGCTAGAATCGATGCTCTGTCATATCCCTGCATGAAAAAAAAGCACGTCAACTATTTTTCCATACTGCAACAAAACTGGAACTGTTCTGACATTCAGTTGTGCCTTTAAGGGGGATTAAAGGCCTTCCAGTACCATGAATTTATCTATTTTTAAGAGACAGTCCTACAGCCAGACACTTATTTCTACTATTGCCATGTATTAGGTAAAAGTATTTTAATAAAACACACAGGCCAGGCTGAGAGAGTTGGGGTTGTTCAGCCTGGAGAAGAGAAGGCTGCGAGGAGACCTTATTGCAGCCTTTCAGTACTCAAAGGGGGCCTACAGGAAGGATGGGGACAATCTTTTTAGCAAGGCCTGTTGTGATAAGACAAGCAGTAATTGTTTAAACTAAAGAAGAATAGATTTAGAGTAGATACAAGGAAGAAATTTTTCACAATGAGGGTGGTGAAGCACTGGAACAGGTTGCCCAGAGAGGCTGTGGAGGGTCACTACCTACAAACATTCCAGGCCAGGTTGGATGGGGCTCTGAGCAACCTGATGTGGTTAAAGCTGTCCCTGCTCACTGCAGGGGGGTTGGGCTGGATGATCTCTAAAGGCCCCTTCCAACCCAAAGCATTCTATGATTCTATGACATTAACCAAAGCCAAAATAAACTTTAAATGCTAGGTTTTATTTATGACTAGCAGAGGAAGGAGAGGAGCTTCAACAGGAGCAAGTCCCTGGCCAGGAAGTTACAAAGCACTTGCTTCAACGCAACATAAAAGGGATCCTCGTTGTCAAAACATTTATTTCAGGGGGTGGGGTGGGACACAACATGGGGGACAGGACACCCAAGGTTTTCCAAGACACTTTAGAATTTTAAGACAGTATTAAAACCAGTATTTGGGGGGGAGTTCCTAAGTTTAGAAACTAACTTTTGTACTTCTTAAAACTGTATTAACCATGAAAAACTCAGCACGTATCCATGGCTGGAAGTATCTTCTCTAAACCAAGATGTTTTAAGGTTTTCATGAATCCTTTTAAAATTATTTGTATTACAAAGCAAAAGTTCCTAAGTAAAACCCCTCTTTTTGAGTCAGGTAAGCATTAAAATATTCAATTACAGTAGTTTAGAAATAATTGTTAAATTCAGTTGACAACTATCCCTGTATAAAAATTCTTGTGTATTGCAACATTTGTTAAGATTTTGACCTGAAAGAAATATACATATATGTGCTTAACTCCCAGGGCAGAGTATTTAGATGATTCATTTACATGACTCACCAGAAGTGAGTGTCTCCCTTAGTATAACCCACTAAATCTTTTGTTACTTATTTTTACCTATTCCTTTTGGGTGCCATTAAGTTTACAGTTCAACACCTTTTTGCAAATTGTGTCATTATCACACCGAATTCAAGCTCCAGGTGGGAGTTCTTGTGTTTCAGAGCCAGGCTGCCCTCAGCCCCGCAGCAGGACACATCCACCCCCCAGGCTGGCAGCACCAGGTGAACTCCAACAGCACTTGCTGCACCTGAACTAATCCACCTAAACCCATTTATTACCTTTCTGCTCTGCTCTCTCACTCTGAGCATAATTAGGCTCAACAAAAACAATTAAGAGATGCTGGTAATGAGGAGAAATGTTAATTTAAATCGAATTACAGCCTGAAAAGCACAACTGCTGGTTTTCTGTTCTTATCTATAGATTGCAGTAGTTATTCTTTTCCATGACAGCCATCAGGATTTTTAAGTGATACAGAAAAAGAGGAGAGAGAAACCAGTTTAAGACAGAAAATGAAATGGGTAAAGTTGAAATATACAATAATAAGCAAATAAAACCTATAGGGAAGCCACCCGTTACATTCCAGGAAACTTTCCATGGCTGGTGAAAAGCATTTACTAAGAACAGTAACAGCCATACAGGTGAAATCAAGATATCATTTGCATTTTTTGGCAAATGTCCTTACCTCTTGACTGTAAGCTCGCCTTTTTATTTCTGGGGAACTGTCAGGTGAGGAAATATTCTAAATAAATAAGAATAAAATTTAAGTCAATTTCTTTCTTAGCCTGGAGAAACGTAACCCCCCCTCCTTGTAGCAGGAGTAAAAATACCAATTTACACTAGAATGTCTAAACACATTTTCTGAACACAGTGAAATTCATTACAAATCTCACCTCAAAGTGCATGGTATTTCCATGTATACATGGAGTTACAGGAGTAACTGGTGAATATATGGGCTTGTAACCATTTCTACAAGCTTCATCTTCTGTTTTGACCCTAGGAGGAGTAGCAAACAATGATGGCTCGGAGGCAGTGATGTCAGCGTGAGTTGGTGTGGCATATGGAGAAGGAGTAGGTGTGGAGGTTTCTGAGAATGCAGACTCCAACAGCTGATACAGTCTTCGTTTTTTTAGTGGTGTGGTTAGATCTGTGTGTTAAAATTAGAAAAAAAGGTAGGAGAGATTAGATATAGTAACCACTTAGAGTTGTTTAAGTAATTGATGTAATGAAATTATGAACTCCCCATTAAAAAATTAGCAAGACTACAAAAATCTCTTAAGGGCAGGCTTCCTGAAGGATGAACTCTTAACAGCCTACAAACTTCCTTAAAAATAAACTCTTAACAGCCTACAGATACATCAGTAACTGACATTTGTGTACTAGGGTGATGGAAAGAACTGCCCATGTTTCCAGAAAAGCAAAAGTCAACTTCTACTGTTTAGCTAACAAGTGAAAATTCCAAGTTCAGGAGTGTACACAGGAATTATCCAATACGCTCCATACCCTTACGAAGTGTGTTTAGTTTTTAGCATATTCCTGTTTTGTATTATGCTTAAAAGATTACACAGCTTTCCCCCTGTGTGCAACACAGGCCTACTGAATTTAAAAGGAATTCTGAATATATAGAACAGCATGGAAAATGAATTTATAATCTAACCTCTTAATATTCATAGTCAAAACCACTGGTCTTTTGTTGACTGTAAACACTATGAGATATGCCAGCTACTTCTCTAGTATCAATTGGACATTAAAGGGGGAAAAAAATCCCAACCACTCTACAACTAAGCATTTATTTCAAAGGAAGTATCAGAAAACAGTGCAAATACCCCTGGAATTTTCATTAACTTATCACTTTACAAACCACAGTCTTCTGCATTGACACAGCTCTTATGTATTGTATTAGTAAAAGCTTCACCTGTTAAGGAACAGCTGTCATTCAGTAATAAAGGACTTTTATTTTCACCATTGATGGCTGGACTTCTAGACCTCTCTTGCAATGGCGAATTAAATCTATCGATCATTGTTGAATTTTCTTCTTCTAAAGCCTGCTTCAACCAACGCTGTAATAAAACAAGTTCAAGTCAGTGACTTAACAGTTTAATGACAAACATTTCAGAACACATTACACGTGGCAATTGGTTTGCTCCAGCTTTTTTCTGCCTGAATTCGTGCTAGCAAATACAGACTTATTTTTAATTAATACGGGATGTGAAACCATAATGAAGGGAAGCGTTACCTTCTTACAAGAGCCAGTAATGTTTTCCACAGGTTCTTTTTTCCTCCTCTTCTCTGAAAGGAATGGTGAAGTAAAACGAATATAGTGCTTTGGAGTTGAATATACATGTGGACTGTAAGTGAGACCTGGTAAAGAATTCAGTTGAGTAGCCAGAACTTCAGGGTCGGTAGTTATGCGCAGAGGCCTTTCTGATAGACTGTCTGTAGGCTTCCCTGTTTTATCACTCTTTTCACTTAACCATTCACTGACCAAGTGCTAAACAGAGAGAGAAGAAAAAATTTAGTGTTTTATGAGTGTTTTTATCAGTGGCTTTTAGACATTTTTTTAGTCTAATTATTCACCTAGTCAACTGTTACACAAACCAGAAAACAGCTAGTTTCCAGGCTGCAAGCTTAAGAATACACAGGGCAAGAATGAGGACAGTTTTGGTGAAATAATGGGGACAGCAGAAGGATTCAGTATAGATTTGCTACATACCAAAGTTTTGGGGGTTTGGGGGGTGTGTGTGTGGGGAAAAAATTCTTTCTTTCTTTTTTTTTTTTTTTTTTGTAAACTAGCATTTAGTTCTTTTGTATTTAATTCTATACTACACAAGTGCCCAGATCAACTGTACTTATGATGTGAATTTAGCAACAGAATTCCAAGAAAAATTCTAAACTTGTGCCTGAGCACCTAAGGCTGAGGGGAAATAGTGTAACAGAATTCAGTAAACTCCTCATCAGATTTCTGACTGTCAGGACTGTGCTTCAGTCGACATATCAGGCAGACGCCTTGAACATTCTTCACTATTGTAGTTGTATTAAATTACAACACATTTACCAAGGCACACTTGTCAAAAAAGGGTATTCTTCCCTAGCTAGTTCAGTGTTTTTGAAAAACATGCCAGTGGATTTTAGTTCTTATTGACAGAGACACTAACCTCTTAAATTTTACAATGGTCCAAAGTTAAGGACATGCAAAAATAGCACATTAAATATTATTAATATGATATTAAGGCTTTAATACAGATTATCATAATATATTTAATTTTAATTTGCTCGTCTTTTACAAACCTATTTATATTTATTAATTCATTTTTAAAGCAGGACTTCCTCCTCACTTAGGGTACACAGGGTACAATGCAATGAGACATTTCACAGACATTTATCCTTAATAATACTATGAAACAGCAAAGAGTGCAGTAAAATTCAGGCTTCTTGGATAACTTCCTTTTTTTCTTTGCAACACACAAAAAAGGAAGAAAGATTCTCATCTCCCCTCTGAGAAGAATTTAACAGTGATGCAATAAGCAGTGTTACAGGACAACCCAGGTGCCTTTTGGAAAAAAAATGAAGTTAAGTATGTTTGGGCGTTTAAAGATAAAACCATCTTGAAATTCTTATTGTTCATCTGACAAGAAGTTTCAACCTATGACTTCCTCCCCCAAATAACATTTTCAGAACAATTTGGAAAGCATGCTGAAAAAAGTCACTTTTTAATGCAGTCTGTAGAATTTTGAAGCAGAAAGTTTTACTGCTTTATTCACACTTGCAGACTTAAGATTTTTTTCAAGTGTCTTTAAATATTGTGGCATTTCTTCAAGCTTTTTACAATGCAGTCCAATAAAAAAAATTCACAAAGCACTAAAAAGAGTAAACAATCTTCCCTCCAAACACGCATATAAATTTTGTGTTTAAATCCATTTACTTCAGAACAGACATCTCAAAAGTACTAGAAGTTAATGATTTGAGATATTCTGTTTGCTACCACTGACATACCTTCTAAAGCATACTGATGAACAAAGGAAGGAAAGGCAGCTTTTATTTCCTTTTCTTTTTTCCTTTCAAATTAACAGCCTATAATTATGTTTTGGTTATGTATATTATTTCAGTCCATTTAGAAAGTACTTCCCTTAGAAAACATTTGTTCCAAAATTGTTCCGAAAGATGTATTTTGGAAGTTTCTTAAAATCCAAAATAACTTCTACCAATGGATGTCACACATACCTTTTTTTGATCTCTTAATTTATTACCAATGAGTGACTATGTAATGGTACTTTTTAAAGAAGTTGACATTTTTTTAAAAATATATATATAGTTGCATACTGATGCAGCAGTCCATAATTTTTTAAAAACTCTGTTAAAGTGCATCCTCTTCTCCCCATCCCTTAAGAGACATACCTTCTTTGTTTTAGGATACTTAGTAGGGCATTTATTAAGTGCTGGAGCTTCTGTTTCAGTAACCATTTCTGTAACAACAGTTTCTGTTTCAGGCTCAGCTACCAGTGCAGCATTCTCAGTTTCATTATGTTGTGAAGTTACTTCCACATCAGGAGAAGATGGCTGGATATCTGAACACATGCTGACAGTTCTGTGTCGTCTACGTTGTTGTCCAATGTGAGTTCTACTTCGTGAGAAGCTTTTTCTCTGTTTAGCTCTATTAACTTTGGCTGGGGTAGGTTTGGTGGCAGTTTCTTCTTTTGCTGGTTCCTGGTACAAAATAGAAGTCTAGTAAACAGATCCCCCAACACATGTAAAGATACGTATCTATCTTAAAACAAAATGTCAGTTCCCCCTTCCTTTACAGGTCCAAAAAGCCTCTATCTCATCTTTGTTGTTAGAAAGAGAGTATTTCGGAGATAATATTTCTACCCTTCTTCACGGAAAACTAGAGTATTTCCTTTATTTTCCTCCCAAGCACATGATATGCTACTAGCAGAGTATTCATACACACCAGTCACTGATCAGCTCACCAGATATACATAAGAACTGCCATACCGCATTCATTCATCCATAAGCCAGAAATCAGCTGTTTACATCATGATGTCTTTCATTTCAATATCCTTTTTGTAATTTACAGTTTACCAAGTGGTTAGCATTGTCACAAAAGGTGACAGCATGCTGACAGATACTATCCAGGGAAACAACCTGAACTGAGAATCTGTAGGACTATTTGCAAGGTGAGAAGCATACTAGCATCCAGCAACAATAGAGTAAGAAATTGTTTGTGAAACATTAAGTACCATCTGCAAGAACTCACAACAAACTATGTCTTAATAATTCCTTTCCTTTAAAAGAAAAGAGAGGATTATAATCTGTTCCTGAATAACCCGCTAAAGAAGCCAGCTGTTCTCTAGTGGTTATAGAGCGTGCCTAAGGAAAGCCACCTCCTGTGGCTAAAGTCGGCATCAGCGAAACACCTCCCATCCTCAACTTCAAAGAGACCCCAATTATAAAGCTGGTGGGTGGGTGTGCATACTTGCATAAACTAATGTAGCTGAAATTCCTCATAAATGAATTCTATACATATTTTCTTGAAAAAAATTAAATCAGGAGCTAACATAATATAATGTCAAAGAACTATACAGATTTTGATCAAATATATTTGAGTCTGGGGGCAGGGGGTTGGGAACCACCACACCAACTATTTCATACATCTTGAAGTGCAGCTCGACATCCAAACCGACAAAATATACCATTTTAAAAGCTAGCTTTAAGGGGGGAGGGGGGCATGGGGGAAAGATAACTACCTGGATAAATTCAGCATCATTGAGTATCTGTGCTTCCTTGCATTCTGATTTAACCTCAGTTTTTGCTGTGCTGATTCTTTCCAAAGCCTGTTCTCTTCTTTTTTCTCTTTTTTCTAGTCTGGCAAAAGCTTGCAGGATAGCTTCCATTTTCCGTTCTTCTCTTGTCTGATGGATTTAATAATAGTCATGATCAAGTTTCAATCATAATCTTTCCCATATGTAAATAAATACTTTTTTTTTTCTAAAGCACTTCAGAACTTGTTCACTCTGTGTTGACATGCAGATCAATTTCAGCAAAAGCTCAAAGGAAAGGGAGATGTTACAGTAACTGCAATTATTACAGACTTCTGAAGAAAGGCTTGCATTCATACTAACCCTGACAAACAAGAAGGTCCTGCTCTGGATTTAAGAGCTTGCTAAAAATAGTGATTTACTAGTAATTCACTGGCCTGCAAGCATAAAAAGAACACATAGCTCTGAGCCACTTACTTGCATGTATAGTATTTAAAAGCAATGAAACACTAATGACAAGAAAGATATGAAATACTAATACATATATGAAACAACAGAAAGCTCCATTATCGTCTGACTCAACTTTTCAAGCGTCACAAACTACATCAAAACATACAGTCAACAACCAAGAATCACCATTTCAAAATAAGGTAACATTAGGTCACACAGAAAAGCTAAGTTTTCTGTCTATCCGTAATTCAGGTCCTAGTGCTGTACAGAGGCACATCTCTTCATCTGCAGAGAACTCTGCTTAAGACAATACAGACATGGCAGAACTGGAAGCTTCTGTTGGAAACTTTTTTTTTTTTAATAAATGCCTGCAGTTCAACAATGCATTGATAGCAACAGTAAGTTTATATCAAAGAAAGAGCAATACCTGCAAATATATTGCTCATATGAATGAATGAGGAACCCAATTTTGTTTTTGCCACTGAACCTGCCTCTGTTTGCTTGGTAAAATACACGCAAACCTGCAGTTATTTGCAATCCTCATAATGGAGCTAGAGCAATAATTACATCTTGAACTACTACAGCAACTCTGCTGGAACTAAGTTTTACAGAGAGCTTTGCTTTAGTAAGAATAGAAATGTAAAGTGCCAAAAAAAAAAAAAAACCACCAAAAAAAAGGCCTGCACATCTCTGGAGCAAAACCAATACATCCAACAGTGTTTGATGAGAATCATTCCTCAAAAGCATGACAAGACACTGTTATACATTCATATTAGAGCTCATGCTGACACTTGTCAGATTTCCTATTAAAATATAAATTTTACTTGAGCAGATTTTACTTTCTGATGCCTAATAAACACAATGCTCATCAATTTTGCTACTGACAGCTGTAGGAAATACTGACCAAAAGGAATGTATACCCCCTCCCCCTTTATTTTTTTTTTAAGGTCCAGGCAAATGCAGACAGTTTTGGTGCCACTTTGAACTCCACTTATCAGAAGTTCTGTGAGCACAAACAATAAAATGAAAGGTCCAAATATTAGTATTTCATTATATAATTTGGACAAGATTTTGATTTCACTAGTAATTTCAAGTATCTTACATTTTGAATGCCTAACAAGAAAAGCACATTTTAAAATGCCAGTTTTCATAACACTGTTCTACCAACCTCTGAAAATAAGGATTTCTGAGGCTTTGTAAGTTGGGAACTCATAAAAAGTCAGGCAAAAATCCTGACTCCCAATACTATCTATAAAATAGCCATTACAAATAACATGCAGTAATAAAGAGTGAAGAAAATAAAACCTAGATGATTCCTACAATGTCTTTTTTAAAGGCAACAGAAAATTATACATGTTTGAAGATAAAAGCAGGTTTTTGTCAGAAAGCAATGATCAAGCCAGGTGAAATGCTCTCAAATAGCAAGCCTTGCATTTTAAGTTGAAGTGCATGTAAGGATCTGACTTCATATATACTCAGATTCTACAAGCCTATAAAAAAGGCAGCAATTAGCATGGGAAGAGCAGGTGTCACTAAGCCTCAGTGACAGCTTTAGGCAGCTACTTGCTTCCCAACTTACCATCTTCCTTTTCCTTTCTGCAATCTGCTCCTCTGATTCCATTTCTACTTCATTGCTAATGGGAGTTTTTTCTTCTATATCATCAATAAAATCTGGCTCCTGAAAGATGGAAATGACTGCTTTACAGAAGCTCTACTACTCTTGCAAACTAGGGAAAACTAAAAGCTACACAGAACTAAGAATCCTCAGATCACTACATCAAAAAGTAACTGAGCCTATAAAGACAAAAATGTAAAGAAAACCCCTAATATCCACTTGTACCTTTGTATAAAACCTGTAAATAGCGTCACCTGACTACATCTTTTCTATTCTGATCTTAGACACATCTGTATCTTTTTTCTTTAGCATACTAATCTTGAAATTTTGGGGTTCCATCCCCACTCCCCCACCCCATCACCAAAAAAATCAGAATTAAACCTCCAAACCAGTAGAAACTTTTGGGCACTAATACTGGCCACTGATCTAGCCACTTCATAATCAGTTGAAGAATTAGGAGCTGTACATTACACACCCATTTTTTTTAAAAAAAAAAAGGCATTAGTTTTAGTGAAATACAGTGAATGTCAAAGGAGATGTTAACAGACAATTACATAGCGGTTCTTCTCAGCTCAAAGTACATTCTATTCTAGTAAAGTCACATTTTCCATTTAAACTCTCACTATAGAATCTAATGACAGGGGCATGCCATAAGGAAACACAAGAGTTAGCTAATAATGGTTTTCTGGGTTTTTTTTTGGGGGGGGGGGGGGGAACCCCCACAATGGGGGGGGGGGGGGGGGAACACCCACAACATGAAACAGTAACTTTGAAAAGAGTTAAGTGTTCACTAGTCGATATGCAATTTCACTTTTATATAAAGGACTAGACAAGGATTTTTTTAACATTTGTCTTAAAAGTACATTTGCATGTTCCCATACGCTTTCTTTATCTTAGCATTACATATTTCACCCCAGGGGAAAAAAAGCTATTAATTGCCTGGCTTCTATGTTTAGATACACATTTCAACAGCTTTATTCTTCTCACAATTCCTACCGTTTTAAGTTCAGTTTTGAAAAACAATACGCATTCTCCTGTGACTGTTCTAAGTACTGTATATTATGTTAAAAGCTCAGGAGAAGGTTCCAAATACCAGTTATCACTTGTTAAGAATAAAACGCAAACATAAAAACAAAAAAATCACTTAAGATGAGAAAGTTTAAATGTTGCCTCTAGAGATCATAATTTGTAACAGTCACATGCCATGCCTTCTGGGCTTCCAAGCATTTTTAAGCCATTTAGCTTCTAAAACCCCAGAACAACTGGATCATCTTATTAAAACGGGGGGTCAATATGCTAATTTTCACCTTATTTCCTTCACTCCTAAGTGATGTTAAAAGATCAAAAACTTGGAAATGGCTCCCTCCCAGAATAACTCCTTTCTCTCTGCTCCTAAATTATCATCAAAACCCATCATAAGAAAAACAATTACCCCCAACCCCAAAAAGAAAGGATAAAGTTACAAAAGTAACCACCTTCTCATGTTAAATACTTAACTTAATTTTGCAGAGCAGCTATTAATCTCACTGATCTCTACCACTAGTTCTTTCAAGCGGACATATTAAAAGAAGGATTAATTTAAAATTGACTACCAGGTAGCTTTATCATACTATCCACCTATTATCCAGTATTTAGCTTCAGAACACACCTTCCTCCTCCTGACTCCCCAAACTCTATTTAATCTTCTACACAGAGCTGCAGCCAACACTTAATATTCTGGGCTGAAGTTTTATTTGTAACTGGAGCAGGGCTACTTATTGCTACGTTTAAAATACTATGCTCCTGAGTAACATATGCAACTAACCAAAAGACACTTCACGATGGACTCGGAGCTCCTGAAAGCATGACATGAGGCTTTCACATTAGAGAGCCACAAAGAAATTCAGAGGAAAAATGTATAGTTAAAACTGGTATAGGAACCAACATATCTTTAAATACAATCAAATATTATGGGGACAAACTTTTTAGTAGGGACTGTTGGAACAGGGCAAGAGGTAATGGTTTTAAACTAAAAGACGGTGGATTCAGACTAGATATTAGGATGGAATTTTTTACGATAAGGGTGGTGAAACACTGGCAGAGGTTGCCCAGAGAAATGGTAGATGCCCCATCCCTGGAAACATTCAAGGTCAGGTTGGATGGGGCTCTGAGCAACCTGATCTAGTTGAAGATGTCCCTGCTCATTGCAGGGGAGCTGGACTAGATGACCTTTAAAGGTCCCTTCCAACCCAAACTATCCTATGATTCTATGGTTAAGGAAAACTGAAAATTGTATAAAAAATTCTGAACAGCTTATCCATCATTATGATTTCTGCTAAATCTCCATACCCCTTTGCAGTGACTTGTTAAAATTCCTTTAGTAACTACAGAAGGAGAGTATTTGTGTTTAAAAGCTTTTCTTTCTGATCATCTTTGTGTCAATACCTGATTATTAGAAATTGACAGCCTGAGGGGAGAGAGCTTCCTCTGTTTATTATCTGCGATTTTCATTTTGGTTGCTGCTCCTTCACAGTCCAATGTGATGTTCTGATTTTGAGTCTCCTTTTCTCTTGAAACATCTTTCTCTTTCTTTCCCTTTTTCCTTCTGGTTTCATATCCAGTATTGATGTTTTCTGTAGGCTCAGAACGTCTGAGAACTGGACATTCAGGATTTTCTTTGAGGCAAGCACAATCCACTTTGTATTTACTAAAAGTAATTAAATGCAAGAAGGCGTATTTTGATTAGGCTGTACAGCAACCAGACTTTTCAATACTAAATCACACAAGCTGATACACTTCATACTGAACATCTGCTATGATGCAAACCAACCATATTAAAAGCAGCTGACTCAAGTTTTCACCAAGGTATACAATAGTGCTGTAATTCAAAAATCTCCTCTACTGGTTAACAGAATTTGCTTAAAAGACAGAAGACATCTAAAACCCAAGTATATATCCTGGGTGGAAATATAACCACCACATTAAAGAAATTAACAGACGCACGGAAGGAAAGTTCTTGCTTTATGCAAAGACAGTAGACACAATTTACAGAATGAGCACACTGGAAAGAACTCGGAGTCACTTTGCACAATTTTAAGTTCCACTTGGATATATATGAACTGTTATTCAAACACATGCAACTTACATAGTTGTGTTTAGTACTTGCAGCTGACAGCCTACTATGAACTTTTAAAAGGATAAATAACAAAACCCCCAAAACCTATCAACCAGGCAATTTCTCAGGTCGTCTTTGTGTGAGGGATGTAGGAGTACATCTACAACACTTAACAGTGCAAGGTACCTTGAGCTAGTCTGAACCCAAGTTGATTAACACAGGTAGTACTCTATGAACATAACTAGTTCAGGTCCAGTAGTGAAGGCACATCTGCACAGCACTACACCCAAGCTGACTTATGAGCAGACCACAGGAAAGCGTATTACCTTGGTGTAGCAAAATGTGAAACAGTTGGACTGCTTCTGGACCCAACCAAGTGCACATACAGAAATAGGCTCCGTGATGCTTCAGTTTCCAAGGTCAGTATTAGCCTAGATGTTCCTGCACAACACACCTATACCCTAGAACATTTCCTGCTAGCCAAGAGAAACCATTACTAGAGTATATCAGTCAAAGGCCTTATTTTGCCATCAGATTTCAAAGAGGTGTTTGAATAACAGTTCCTACATATGTGAGTGGAACTTAACCCATTATTTCCTTTACCATTTCAAAACGATGCTTACAGATAATGGCAACAGCTTATTAGACCTTTCCCCAATTCATCAAAAGAGCAGCAGTTATATTCAGGGAAACGTGTAATAGGTTACAGAATCTAAGGCACTAAGCATTCAGTGTATTTTAACATTCTTAATCACACATTAAACAAACGTGTTTTATAACTAAATTCCACAGACGCTGTCTTCCTGAAGTTATACTACAGGGGCACTCTGAAATAAATAGGGCATTACTGAATAGTTCTAGATTTTCTTCCTTCTACTCCCCACACTACGGGACACCTATACATGATAAATTTTCATAGTACATCTTTATTCATATTCACCTAAGCTTGTATCTTTTCCACATCATTTGTAAGTAACTGCAACATTGCTGAAATTAGCAACAGATATGCAGTAATAAAAATAAAGCCCTGCCCACACACTGTTCATTGTAAATACAATACTTAAGGAGCCCTATGTTATTAAAGCATGCAAGTAAATGATACAAAAACAAACCCACCCTGAATCGCAACATAACTTAATAAGCATCAGAAGTATTTTAGAACAGCATGCTCAAATACTTACCAATTTCCATAATCAAAATCAAATGCTATAGTAATCTCTGCTCCCTTTGGAATGTTATGGATGGAGTAAATATAAAGGTGAATCGTTCCATCTTCAATTACATGCCTCACCTATATTCAGAACAATATTATTATATTATCATGAATGACTTTGGATTGTTTGGGGTTTTTCTTGTTGGTTGGTTGTTTTTTTTTAAAAGTACCTGTACAGAAATTGTAGGGATTGCTCAAATTATCAGTTGGGAAACTGAAGGAGAAGGGGACTTCTAAGTAAGTAAGTAAATAAAACCTAATTTAACTTCACGTATATGCTCACCTCCGCATTTGGCGTACATGACCGTCTGATGAATCGAGCTTCGTTTCCGAAAGTCCTTGCATCAACACACATTTCTAGCCCATGGAATTTGGAATAAAACAAAACAAATGGGTATGGCCTGAAAAAGATATAGGAAAACCAAAGTTTTATCATTTTTAAAGATGCTAACTATCACTTACTTTTCACATTAGTTAGCTTTGTAACATGATGTTTGGCATGATACACCAAATTTGTGGGTTAACCTGAGAATGACACGTTTGTATTTAAGCTTCATGATTCTAACTGGTACGTCCTCCAAATGTATTCTCAGAATACCAAAAGTCTGAGTTCCAGCCCTGCATGTAATTCTTCTGCATAGGATCTAAAGGGAGGAACAGTAACAGGGCAAAGACTAGACATGGAAGACACAAGGTTAAGATTCTTCATCTTCCTTAAACTTTTCTTATGGCAGGTCCTAAAATGAAACTCAGGTAGAAATTTAGGTGCCTCATGGAATCCTCTAAAAAAACCAGAATAAAATAATGCCTCCACATCCCTGCCTAACACCTGCAGTATCAGCAGCACCCAATCCTCCTGAAGAAAGGGTGCATCTAAATACTTTCCCAAGAGGTGCTTCAGGTTCTGCTACTACAAGTGCCAGGGAACCCTTCCATCTTTACTGAGCAAAAGCTCTGTGTCCTCTCTCCTCCAACAGGCCTCTTGCAACTTCCTAAGTAGGTGTGTCTGTGCAGTTAATAGCAGCACTGAAAATTACCCACAAGCAGAAAGCAGCAGTCGTGCATTGCTCGGTAACTTAACCAGCTAGAGAATTCTGGCAGTAAAAAGGTCCCAAGTTCACCTATGTCCAATTCCATTCTTGGTCTGATGGACTTAATATCCTTTTCTCTCTCAAAAGAGAATGTCTTTGTCATTACCCTCTGAATTATTTTAGTATGGTAGAACCTGCCAACCTCTGGTTAAAGTTGCACAACTACTCAACTGAGAATGCAGAGAATCCTGTAACCAGGGAAGAACACAGAAAGAGGAAACTAAATCTTAGAGCAGATCTGTAAGGCTATCCAGAAGAGTAGGGGGAGATCAGATTCCAGCTGCAATTGTTTTTAATTGGACAACAGTAAAATGCAAGGCACTGCTGGTAACTAAGACCCATTTGTACTTGAGGCAAGAGTTAAAACATTTTAAAAGTTACTGTATTAAAACATTTGGAATAAACAAACCTTTTAAAGAAATATCCATTAGCTTCAAATTGTTCTCTCAGCATGAACTTTCCTCTGTATTCAATAATAAGTGCGTCAGGAGGCAAGTCTTTGGCAGCTTTTAAAATTTTCTTGTTTTTTTGCACGTAACTCTATAAAGACATAAGTTAATTTATGAAGTATCATTTTCTACCATTTTTCCATTACTATTAACAGCAGATTATACTTTCACAACTACTAAACAATTCTATATGAACTAAAAAAATCCCTCCTTCTTGTAGTTTAATCAAATCAGTCTAGAGGTTTAACTGTCCTGTTCCCCTACCAACGTAACTAGTTATGAATTTAGATTCAAGGAATGCTTTAGCCCTAGTTCTCCAGTACATGGCTGAAAAACAACATATTCATGTTCTCACAATTCAAGTACTGTAATCCCTTAACTCTCACCACTACTAGGATGAATTGCTGCATTGTTTTGCATAACACTTTCAAAAGGCTTCAGTTCCTTCAAACAAAACAAAACATGCAAACATAAAAGGACATTCATGATTCATTAAAGGAAAAACAGAACAGGAAAATAACAAAATAATAAAAAATAAAAGAAGAATCCTGAGAGAGTTTCCAACTTTCTTATTTCCGTATCTTTAGATGGAAGGATGGCTTTTAATTAAAAACCAATACATACCCTGACAATTAGTGAACTCACACCTCTCATAACTGTCATCGCCAATCAAAAAGGAAGTAGCCTCTATGTAGGCAAAAGGCTCTGTAAGCAGGGATATTCCTCTAAGGAGGGTGCCCCATATGCCATGATGGTCTTTGAGGAAAAGAAGCAAAGATGCTTCCATTAATCTGCTACAGTAACCACTCCTTGAGATTTCTGCTATGAAATGCTAAGGTCTGTTACATGGCTCTGATTTTAAGCTGGTAAGTAACTGATAATAAGGACAGAAAAATACACTGCACAATTTCTTCCTAAACTAGAAATTACAGGATCACAAGAGTAAAAACAGAAATCAGTATCAATATCACCTACCATCAGGAACATCCTTCATGAACTGGTAAATGAAATTCTATTCTATCATGAATACCAGACTTACCATTTCTTAAAGAAAAATGTGGACAAATAACATGTTGATACACAAAGCAGAAAAAAAGATTCCAACTTCAATGCTTCTATCTACTCTAACTGCTCCTGATATTCCTCACAGAGCATAGAAACAGCAGCAGCAAAATCTACTCCGTTATGCCCACCACAAAACAGTCTGAGGACAATCCAATGTTCAGGCTAAAGCTAGCACCTTCGTTATTTTTATGAGAATTGATATGCAAGTGTAAACATTATCAGGGATGATACAGGATGTACGAAAATCAATTACAAATTCCGACAAAGCTGTTAAAACTCTGACGCTTAGATCTGGCGAGACAAGATGCAAAAAATGAACGTGAAGTCCCTTTTTTTTTTTTTCTTTTTAAAGAAAAGGCATCTAAATGAGTATCTTTGTCATGGCACAAAACCAGCATGCAATAACACAACATGGCACAGCTCATTACCTCTACTGGAGGTTTGAAAATCAGATTGCTGGTGCTGACTTCTTTTTTGTCATTTCCATTGCCTAATCTCAGAGCTATTTTTTGTGCCTCCCTCTGGACACCCTCGCTGTACTGGTTATTATTTGCTTCTTCATAACGATCCATCCATGCCTTGATTTTAGTTTCCCATCCAAAGTTCGAACTGTCGGTAGGATCAATCTCTGGAGCTGAGCCCTAAAAATTAAAGTGATCAGATACTACAAGGTAAGAAAAAGATACTAAAATTAAAAAAAGTAAGTCCACAACAAGACACAAAATGAAGGGCAAATGTATGCCATTGTTTTAAGGTGTTTTTCTTTTTAGGGAGTCCGGTATAAAATTCTGCATTACTTAAAAACATTGAGTTGAATTCAGTAGCATTACATTTGTCCTTTTACGAATTTTATCATTTCATAAACATCACCCAAGTTCAGGAATACATTCCCTCTTCAATAGGTGTTCTAACTCTTAGCGGGATGAGAACAGAGACTGACGTGGTTTCCACAATTGCACTGCATCATGAATCTATGAGTGCAGGAGCTGGAGTCAGATCTCCCTTCCTACTCAACTTCTGTGAACACATGCAAATACAAAAAACTCCAGCTTCCATCCTATAATACACAGATTTGACTTTCTCCTTTCAGCTTCACAGGTCATGCTGTTTTTTCTTCTCGCTTCACATCTTACTAAACTTTACTTACCCTATGCCTACTACAGTAAGGTTGTGACTCTAATGTTACAGGCTTTGCACAGCTCATTTTTCTCCCCTTATCTGTTCCTTACTAAACAATTCTCTTCTGCAGTGCTTTAGATCCTTTCACTTTGAAGGAAGTGCCATTGTACTTCCACACCTCACAAGCAGCAGCCAGGCTGCAGCCAACCAACGCTCCTTATGGGCAGCAGCAGCCAACCAACGCTCCCTTTTCTATCCACCTGAGCACAGACACTATTAAACATTAATAAAACAGCAAGTAGTTCAGCAATTCAATTTACCTGTTACCGATTACAATTCTTTTCTGCATCAGAGCCACACACACAAACAGCATTAATAAGAGGTGTGATGCTAAGAAAACCATGAAAACACACAATGGAACCATACAAACACCATATTCAAGAAGCATAAAATAGAGATTTTTCTTTCCCAATTCTGTCTTCACTATTGGCAAGACACAACTTACACATCTGACATGTAAATTGTGTCCCACTTGTTTTTAATATATCTCAAGGATGAATAAACTATGGGAAATATCTAGTTCTCACACCACACATACTTCTATCTCACAGAAAATTTAAAGACTGCTGTAACACTTAAATCTTACAAAGCAGACATTCCCACACTATTCTTTGAACTATACCAGCACTCGTGAGTAGAGCCCCACCAGATGAGTACATGGAGGTATGACAGAGCAGAATCACTAGTTCAGCTTTCAAATGCAATATAGCCATCTCATTATTTTGCTGCTTAGAGCTATGAAAAGCTGGAGCTACTAAGTTCAAATGAGGTGTGCACTCAGCTTTACTCCCTTGCACAGCACAAGTGAGCCCTAGTTCCTCCACTGGCTCTTGAAAAACAAGTATTCTCAGAATAAAAATTTACACTATACTATTTCTGTTAACTTTGCAGGACATGAAGATGTAGTGCTCACACCTTAATTTAAAGTTACTTGATGCGTATGTAGTACATTAGTTATCAAGAGTATTTTAGTGCTTAATATATAGCCCCAATTGCACTCTTGATGCTTCGTATTATTTAAGTAATGTACAATTAAGGTTTAAAACAAAAAAACCAAACAAAATCACATTACCTTTACTCGTGAAGATTTCCTGGATCCTTCTCGAAATGCCTGAAACAAAATTGGATATTTATATTCTTTGGAGGAAATACAAAATCTCTTAAGGAATTTAAAATCTATTAACGAATTAACAGCTTTTCAATGTAGAACATTCTCAATAAAACATGCAAGACAACAACAACAGAACAAGCTACGCTGAAATCTCAAAAAGCAACAAGTTATGTCTCACAAAATATATTTTTAAAAAACAACTCAGCATTCCAAGCTAAGTGCATACTGGATGTCAGAGGTAATAGTCCAGATACCCTTACCTTTCCCCTGTATTACAACATGACCCTCTAGAATTTCAGAATTCAAGGCAAAGTAACCGAAAAGTTACTTCCAGAACACCCCATACTTATCAGCTAAATCTGCCAATTGCCCACATCCTTCACCCCACTACTGGCAGAAAGAAGGGAGGGGGAAGCAGGTGTCCTATAATGTTAACTTTTGAAAGAAGTTTGTCATTTTACAACAAAACCTCATTCTTTAAATCATCTTACACAATGCTGGGAGATAGCAGAAGAATATGTAGTAGTAAATTGATATTCATTCAAAAGGAAATATTTTACTCAAGATTTCCAAAAAGGTATCTGTTAACTAATTCTGACTTCCAGTTTATACCTGCAGCTAAACAGTGTAACGTCAATATCCAGCTTACCAAAGCAGTTTAGTAGCTAACTTTTTGACAGCACATTTCTACACAATTTCCAACTCAAAAAGACATGAAGTCGCATCAGGACAACTGACAGCAAACACTTCTGAACTTAAAACAACCAAAACTGACGACTTTTCAGACTCAGAATTCTTCTCTGGGTATCCAAAGCCTGTTCTGCCCCACCTCCAACTATATCAAGTGGTCCAGTAAATGCAATTCCTCCTTACAAATTCTGCCTCAATTATAAAATTGAACTTTCATGGCTAGTACATTAACTTGAATTAAGGGGGTGGGGGGGAAAGATGGAGGGAAGACTGTATCATTTACTGCAGAGTATTACTTTTCAATCTAAACCCAGGTAGTAAAATACTATTAGTAACAATAGCCTGATTTTTAAAACCAGTCTCTTGGTAAGAGATGTCACATAGCTATAATTTATAGAATAGTCCGAAAAAGAAAAATTACATTCACTTACTTTTTTACATTTTGCTATGTTCTGTTCTTTCTCTCCACTTTTTTTCCTTTTCTTATCGTTGACTTTTGTAACTCTTGTAGCAGTTAAAGTAATTGTAGTTGGTGTATGTTGAAAAGCAGTATACAGTTCCACAGGAACCTCATCACCACTCTCCGTTGCGCTGGTATCCCCATCTTTAAAACAAAGCCATTCTGTAAACAAATACTGTAGAACGAACATTCACTAGCTACTCTACACCTGCTTTTAAAAACCAAAAACGTGTACTGACAAATGCTTCCAAGCACTCGCATGCAAAATTCACCAACAGTTGCAACAGTATGAAAATGAATGACCAATCAGAAGCTGGTGAGTAACAGATGTTTGTAATGCCAGGTAAGAAAAAAAGATACCAGATTAATTCCATTTGTTGAATAGAATTATATTATCATATTCCGTTATAAGCAGAATTACAATCAGAACAAAAATAGTAAAAAAAGAAGTATTTGTTAATTCATTCACTTTATATATAGCTTTTAGTTGTAATATGGCTTTAGGATTCTCTCAGATGACTGTATTCTAGAGAGGATTAAAATTAATGACTGCCCAGCATTTCTTGTGAAGCCCTATTAATCAGTCATGTGTTAAGTCATAATCAACTATTTCAGCTCCAATTTGCAGTGTCAAGTGCCTTTTTCAGGGTAAATATGTCAATTTACCAAAAGCCTTCTCTCCTCAAAATCCCCTAACAATAACATTCTGCTACTCGGGGAAGAGAAAACTCAAGTCTATTTTACTCGTTAAAAAAACATCACACACAAACTGACAGGTATTTTTTCTTTGTGCTGTGCACCCACAGACCTTAAAGCCAAAGCCTGAAATTTAGCATACATCAGCATTTATGTCAGACAAATACACTTCCTGACCTGAAACGGGATTACCCTAGTTCTGTCAAGATGAAAGGCTGTGTAGCATGGGGAGGATTGGAAGAGAGATGGTGCACATAGATAGGAGAGTGCTGTTCACACATGCTCAGTACAGACTTCTCAGGTTTTAGCAGCTTTTCCAAATATTCTGCCTTCAGTAAATATACTTCACACTAAGCAAGACTTTTTCCGAAACTGCACAGAAGCAGGCTTTACAAACACTTAATGACAGCAGACAAAACATCCCTTCTGAGCTCGGAAGGATGTTGCCTTAATCAGTGCACTCAACAGTCCTAATTGAAACCTTCTTTACTAAATAAAGAACTCCAGCTACTGGTTACTCTGGATTTTTCTTGCTCACAACATTCCTTAACAGGATTCTTCTGTGCATAGTAAGCAATCCAATTTTACCGTCTTGGTTGTTCTTTTGAACAATTTATTAGGCACATAATTATACATTAGGAGCTGATGGTGTTTTCTGAATTTGTTTACATCTCTGCTGGGACTATTTTCTGAAATAGCATTAAAAGAAACCACACAGAAAGAAGAAATGTCTAATCGAAGAAAAATGAATAGCAGAATAACCAATGACCGAGGGATGAAAACTCAAGGCCCTCTTGAAATTGTCAATGTTTGCAGTCCATACATTAGTGCCTACAGAATCATTATGTCACAGCCAAACACCCCCCCCCATACCCTCTCCCCCAAACCCCACAAAACGCTGCCTTCCTTTGGGAAGCAACATTTCAATATTGTTGTCTACACTGTGCCCTAACTTACTGTAAAGAATAATTACCTCACCCGAGCATATAATTACAGAGAGTTGTTTTGAGACACTCCTTCCTAACCTACATAACCTGCTTTCACTTCGGAGAGCCTTAGTAAAGCACACTAAGGGAAGATTTTGCATCTTGGAAGGCAAGATACAAAGTCCCCAAATTTCACAAGAAGTTATGGTCCCAGACTTATTTCCCCATAAGCAGCAAGTGATTTCATCTGCACCAATTTCAAGGCCAGACAGCTTGAAGCAACATCCTTGAACAAGTTACACCTCTAGATACTGTATCTTTAAAAAAAAAAAAAACAACCAAAAAACCACAAACACAAAACCACAACCAACCAAAACACACCACCACCAAAAAAAAACCCAAAAAACAAAAACAAAAAACCCCAAACCCAAAGTGTCCAGGATACAATTGACTAGGGGCTTAACAAAAGTGCTCACTCCACTGAACCACAGCAATCAATCCAATGCACAGTGAGCTGCATCAGAATTACACTTTTACACCAGAACAACAAAACCAACATCACCACATACAACCACAGGTCCCAGAACAATGGGCTATAAATGTTGCCAGGAAAAGAGGTGATGTGGTTACGCATAAAAGTTTAAGACTCTCACTAAATTTCGTATCACGTGAAATGTTCACTTAAAAGCTCTTTTTCTGAGGCAAACCAACTGACCTACTACTTGCTCACCACTGCTTAGCTCTGGATGAAACATGGCTAAAGAAGCAACCCTTTGGAAATCTTTACAGTATAATTTTTTTTTTTATTGTAAAGTATTCCCATATCTAAAATGAAAAGTCCTATTATACCTAAGCCTCAAAAAAAAAAAAAGCCCTGAAGATGTACTAACTCAAAGAACATCCAAATAATGCAATCTTACCTTTAATCAAAGACCTGTAACTTAGTAATAAGCATGTTACAATTAACATTCTGCTGCTGTTGAATACTTAAAACATTTAAGAGATATGTTCAAACTGATGCCACTTTTGCTTTTCCTGCTTGGAATCATCTATGAAAACTGGCCATTTTCACTAATGCCTCATGGTAGACAGTTCATACCTAGAATTACTTCAAGTCCAACTGAACCATGTAATTTCAGTCAACATACAAAAGGTGCATTTAGCCAAGCAAACGTATTGGCTAAATGAAAATTAACTGGAGATGCAAGCATACATTCATTTCAAGTTATGTATTATAAATCATAGTAATTAATATTTCACTTCAACTGAGTCTTAGACTAAACACTATTAGAATTTATCTTTGCTTTTACTCTGTTTTGATACTTAAGATTTACCACTTACTATTTATTTTCCTATTGAATGCATAGAACAGATTTAAAAGTCTGATCATCAGGATTCAGGAGGGCTGAACACTAACTTCAAAGGTAAAATCTCTTCAGCTTCTGCTAAGATTTGACTCTCTTCCCTTAAGTTTACAGTAAATGATCAGATAGTGTGGCTACAAATCCTAAGAGATGACTTAAATAGCTCAGACCATGAACTTCCCCTATCCTGTATGTAAACTGAAGTTCATTCTCACAATATCATACCACTTAGTGAACTCATTAACTCCAAATGAATTATAAATTATTATTTTAATAGAATCAGCAAAAATTAATTTTAAAATCTAAAAAATTTGTAGTATCTAGCAGGTCAACCAAAACTTTACAAAGTAAGTTTGATTTTGTTAAGATGAAAACAGACAAAACAAAAAATGATTGTGGTGTTCCAAGTAAGTCATTAATGACTTTAAGGGACTTAAGGCAGCTTAGCACTGGACAGCAGAAAGCGTCAACTGCACCAAGAAGCACTATTAAGCTACATCACACACTTCATTTTCTAGAGGCATATGAAGTAGCCAGCAGGACCTTACCTACATGGTATTTTTTAAAGGCACTGGTGACAACCTTTAATAAAACACGTGGAACTGCAACAATTCTGATATAGTGTTACCTTAGTAACAATAAAGTCAAGAAAAAGGCACTGATTTACCAAACCTTATATGCTGAAGGCTATTAAAATTGCAGAAACCATGTATACACTCTTAAGTCTATACAGTTGATATATACTTATTTTGTAACCTTTACTGAGGAAAAATCTTTAAGCTTTACTCACCTGACATATTTTCCCTTTTCCTTCGTTGCAACAGCACTGCCCTTTCTTTATCTAAACTCCTGAAATTAAAAAATAGATTTTATTCCATTCTTCACATTTACGCATCAATACTTCTAAGCATTAAAACAGACCTTTTCAAAGTTACCATTTTCCATTGACTATTACACAATAAACAGTAGACTAGCTGAATGTTTAGATACTTAGAGAAATATCAATCATGCACTGTTCCATTCCATTTTAATGCAAAGCACATACAAGTATCCAAATCACTTAAAAACATAACTCAACTTGATAGCTCGGAAGACAGACTAACAGTTGGCCTACAGATTACAGATAAGCAGGCGTTAAACCACTTTCCTGCAGACTCTTCAAAACAATCATTTAGGTTGGAAAAGACCTTTGAGATCATCAAGTCCAACCATTAACCTAACACTGCCAAGTCAACCACTAAACCATGTCCCTAAGCACCACATCTACACATCTTTTAAACACCTCCAGGGATGGGGACTCAACTACTTCCCTGGGCAGCCTGTTCCAGTGCATGACAGCCCTTTCGGTGAAGAAATTTTTCCTAGTATCCAATCTAAACCTCCCCTGGCACAACTGGAGGACATTTCCCTTTGTCCTATCCCTTGTTACTTGGAAGAAGAGACCGACACCCACCTCACTACAACCTCCTTTCAGGTAGCTGTAATTGTCACAACACAATACAAAACAAATATTCTATGACAACAAGGTCCAAACTATTTCTCAGAAATAAAAGAATCATTTAATGGTAAATAAAATGTTCTGAACACACATGTCTTTTATTCACTGTTTAATTAACAATCTGCAATGTAAGTAACAGGTAGCATTTTATACTCTACATCACAGGACAACTATGATGACAGTCAGGTATAATCTAACTACCACAGTCAGAACAAATTGCCCTCCTCGTCATGTCATATGACTACAAGTTTGAGGTAGGGCACACAAATACTCATTCCAGGCCAAGAAATCCTCCAAGTGAGCACTGTGGCATATCGGAACAGAGCCATAAAAACAAAAGACACACCAGAAATACTGGTGGGGCAGCTGACCTGAAAACACTGCTGGTTAAGGGTTCTCAACATATGACAGCCATGAAACAAAATATGGAATGGATTGTCTATGTATTGGTCAGCCTGAGAAAGGACCCGGGAATCACTGCTATTTTGATAAACATTTCAAGGGTTTATCCCTGCTGCCTAGTGAGGTGAAACAATGGCTACTGTCAACAAGGGAACAGAGACCAGTAAGATCATCTGCATCAGCAATGTAGCTCCTTTAACTAGAATTGTCAGGATTATGCTACATGGTCTGTGTTTTATCTGTTGGTTGTTCCAGTACCTCCTCTTTTTATATTCTCTACTCAATCTAATTATTTAGAGTTCAAAATCAACCAAACTACTCACCTTGGTTGACAACGTTCACACAGATATATGTCAGGAATATGCTGCCTGTCGATGCCCATGCAGTCAATGTGCTGCCAGACACTTTAAAAAAAAAAAAAAAAAAAGAAAAAAAAAAAAAAAAAAAAAAAAAAAAAAAGAAAAAACCACCTGGTTATTTTAAGTACAATTTTAAAAATTGTGTGCATAATACACACACACACACACACACAGAGCGAGCCATTCTTTTTTC